ACCACCTTTTTCCCTGCCTCATGCACTCGGTCTCCTCACTGCTATGCTTCTTCCCACACACCAGCCAACCTGTTTGAACATTGAATGATTGATTGACAGACTGGCAAGGAAAGTTTTGGACATCATGGTGTATTTTATTGGTGGTACTGGGTGAATGAGTACAACGGTCTGATGATGCACTGGTGTGTGTTCTGGCCATGTTTCATTCTTGTCAGGCTTGCTTTGGCGAAAGCCCTCGGGGCAGCTCCATCTGTTTGGGCGTTGGGCAATGCAGGGATGGGAGCCTTGCAAGTATGTTTCATTGTTTCCCTTTCTGTATCTTTCCTTTTTCTCCCCTTTTCTGAATCTTCCTTTGCTCATTCTCTACTTTGTATTCCTTTCTCTTCTTTGGAAATCATACAAAACCTTTCAGCTTATTGCGACCTTGACGCCTCCCTCACCTCCCCCACATCTTCCTGCTTTCATTGTTGTCTGATATCCTTAGGCATGTGAGGTTTTGGTTGCCCCCAGCCCCCCTCGTCTCCTCTGGCTTTACTGGCTTTCCTCTCATCCTGTCACTCCCTGTACATTGTACGTCCTGGCTATAGCATAGCCCTCTCGAGTCTCGACTATACTTTCCAGGTGTACAGCAAGTATCCAGTTCTGCTATGCTATATAGTCGGGGTATCAGTTGAGAAACGTTGATGTTTCCAACTTGCTTTGATTGGAAGATCGACCTTGAATGACATGTGCTTTGAGGACGTATGAGTCAAAAGTGATAACGCGCTACTCATACTAGCAGTTGAGACCATAAGGGACCATAAGGGACCTCATAAGGGACCATAAGGAACCATATGGAACCATAAGGAACCATAAGGGACCATGTATTTTTAGTATATGTATCATACGTGTGGCGCATAGCGCACGTGCACACATGCATGCACACGTGATGCGGCGCACCTTAATAAATAGTGTCAATTAAACCACCACTACCTCCGAGCCTCTTTTTGCCAACCCTGATTTTTACTGCACACCGAGTTTTGCCGAGCCTGGGGTCCGTTGTGTTTCTTTCCTGGTACTCTTCTGAAAAAGAAAAAAAAATGCACGGCCAGACTTTCAAAAAACGACGTACTCACAACCACAAAAAAGAAAAAGAAAAAAAACGAACACCCCTCTGGACGTGATACAAGGTAGTACATGCCCCAAAGTTGTTGTGCCAGTATGCCCTCAGTGAGGGCTTTACGGCAGGGGTGTCAGGTCCACGAAAATAAGAGAAGGAACAGTGTTGCAAGCGCCGACCGTCGGCGACCCCTGACTGGTCGGCTGCCGACCCGCCGACCGGTCGGCTGGTCGGCACCTACCAGTCGGGGGTCGTCGGCACCCCGCAAAAAAA